ATTCAAGTAGAGCTACAATACTTGCAACGTTCTTATCTGAAATGATAGAATCAGGACCAAGGTTGGAACATTTTTCTAGAATGTTCAACAATAAACGGTACATGAGAGCTATAACGTTTTCATCTCCTAGCTGCAGACACATTTCACAGATTTTACTTACCTTATGGGCATTCACACCTTCTGTTAGTTTATTTAAGACAAAATCGTTATTTCTATATAGTATCAATGTTCTTATGCAATCCTCTAGGCAGTTGAAATCTACATGGTGTAGAATAAATTTGTCGTTGAAAATGTAACTGTAAGCATCAATATCTTCACTATATCCTCCTAGTGAATATTCCTCAGAACTTTCTTCAATCTGGTTATCCTCTTCTGAGTCTTTAGTTTCTTCATTTTCTGAAATTCTATCTTCTGATATTAATTCGCTATTCGAATTTACTACTGAATTATATTCAGACATCTCATCAAAAGGTTTTTCCTTCGTTGAAAATTCTTTGATTTCCATTTTATTACTGACAGCAACTTCTTCAGTAGTATTTTCTATCTTTGATCCTACAAGGGTCGTTTCAACGTTCATTTCTTCATTGTTATCAATGGGCAGAACTTCAGCAATTGATTCCATTTTTTCGATGCAATTCTAAATTGTAATAAATAATATTTCACGTTATTAATTCAGATATTTTTGTTATTTGATTTTATATTTTATCTTGTGTAACAAGCAAAAGAAACAAAAATTCCATTCATTATTTTATAATGAATATGAAACAGATTTAAAATAAAATGTATATTATATATAATAAATATGTTTCATATATTAATTTTTATACAAAATTAGTTTGAATGCGCCCTAAATCATAATTGTAAAAAAATATTCTAGGAACCTGAATATTCATATAATATTTTAAGTTTCAAGAGAACTTCTAACTTGAAAAATAATTTTGACTTTCACAGAGCTCCTAAATACAAGTACTTTTCTGAACACCTTTTAATTAAAAATTTTAAATTTATAATAAACAATTTCTAAAAAATTATAACAACGACCCAAAAATTATCAAGACCCCTAAAACATCAAATAATGTTATTGTGTCAATAAAATAAAACTATGATGCCATCATCAGTATAATTCATAGATACAACACTGATCCGTGCTGTACATTACCTACATCAATATTTTACACAGTTCCTTAGTGTCAGAGTTTCACTTGTTGCAACTTCAACAAATCTTTCATCAAAACTGCACTCAAAGAAGAAAATAAATATTTCAGATATTACCATCAAACAAAATAAGATTAATATATATAATTTATTTTCTATTTTATTATTACAGAAGCACGAAGTCTATCAGACTATTGTGCTATATTATAATTATTTACTTACATATATATCTAACTAGCCGAATGACCCGGGCAACGCCCGTGTTTTACCCGATTGAATGTTTTTATTCAAATACTATTTGTTACAATTATAAATTGGCGCCTTATATAAATGCATATATTAGTTAATAACTATAGCCTATGTGCTTTATCTGTCTATGTACTGTTGGCTTCCGTAGGCGTCTCTTACTGGGAAAAAGAAAAAGAGGATTCCATTTAGTTATTAACTAATATATGCATTTATTTAAGGTGCGACCCGCTCCAACACAATAGTTACAAAAAACAAAAAGCGAGTGGGGGGGGGGGCATGATTTGCAAAGGTGGCGTGATCGTAGCCAACCAATAGGAGAGCGCCATTCCAAAAAAAAAAGCAAACAGTGACAGAGATGAAAACTGAAGAATTAAGAACGCATGACGCTCGTTACTGTATATAGAAATACTAGACGAATGGCCCGGGCAACGCCCGGGTTTTACCCGAGTGCGTATATATTTTAAAAACGTTTTAATTCAAATACTATTCGTTACAATTATAAATTGGCGCCATGGATGTCACTCTTGTGATACGTCCCGTTCCAAACTGTGTGTTTTTAAAATGTTTTAATTAAAATACTATTCGTTACAATTATAAATTGGCGCCGTGGATGTCTCTCTTGTGAAACGTCCCGCCCCAAACTGTGTGTGTCTTGAAAATATAAAAATAAAAATGTGAATTTTCATAAAGATTTCATCATGTCGATTTTTTTTTTGCATTTCACCTACTAAATCGATAGAGATAATTACATTTGCAACATGAACTTAGGTATATTGACTAAATAGAAAACTGCATAGTAATAAAGATCATTTTTAAAGGCACCATATCGTTTTTTTTTTCAATAAAATCGAAACAAAAATTAACGATAAATAACGATAATTGCCTTAAAAAGAAATTGCCTTAAAAAAAAAGGAAACATTCGCGGTGATTTTGTTTTGCATTCGTTTATACAATTATTATATACGAAAGACCCGGGCAACGCCCGGGTTTTACCCGATTAAATGCTTTTATTCAAATACTATTCGTTACAATTATAAATTGGCGCCGTGGATGTCATTCTTGTATAATATATAAATGAGTTTTAAAAATTGTAAAAAAAAAAAAAAATGCATCGGCCGGGAATCGAACCACTGAACCACCGATGGTTATGAAAATTCCCATCCGTGAGCTTCAGACAAACAAACAGACAGAATAAGGCAAATATATAAGTAGACTAGACGAATGGCCCGGGCAACGCCCGGGGTTTACCCGAGTGCGAATATATTTTAAAAACGTTGTCTTGGGTGGTCGCTATTGACAGGGTGGTCTGTATAGACAGGTGGATGTATCACACAGCTGATAACAGGGTTGTCTAGAGTGGTCGCTATAGACAGGGTGGTCTGTATAGACAGGTGGATGTATCACACTGCTGATAACAGGGTTGCCTAAGGTGACCGCTATAGACAGGGTGGTCTGTATAGACAGGTGAATGTAACACACTGATGATAACAGGGTTGCCTAAAGTGACCGCTATAGACAGGGTGGTCTGTATAGACAGGCAGCTGATAACAGGGTTGTCTAGAGTGGTCGCTATAGTCAGGGTGGTCTGTATAGACAGGTGTATGTATCACACTGCTGATAACAGGGTTGCCTAAAGTGACCGCTATAGACAGGGTGGTCTGTATAGACAGGTGAATGTAACACACTGATGATAACAGGGTTGTCTAGAGTGGCCGCTATAGACAGGTGTATGTATCACACAGCTGATAACAGGGTTGTCTAGAATGGCCGCTATATACAGGGTGGTCTGTATAGACAGGTGGATGTATCACACAGCTGATAACAGGGTTGCCTAAAGTGACCGCTATAGACAGGGTGGTCTGTATAGACAGGTGGATGTATCACACAGCTGATAACAGGGTTGTCTAGAGTGGCCGCTATAGACAGAGTGGTCTGTATAGACAGGTGGATGTATCACACAGCTGATAACAGGGTTGTCTAGAGTGGCCGCTATAGACAGGTGTATGTGTCGCACAGCTGATAACAGGGTTGTCTAGAGGGGGGCAGGGAGGCCACGTGTTCGCTGGCAGCCAATGGGCGCGCATTCTATCCGTGAGCTTCAGACATACAGACAGAATAAGGCAATTATATAAGTAGATACGAATGACCCGGGCAACGCCCGGGTTTTACCCGATTAAATGATTTTATTCAAATACTGTTCGTTACAATTATAAATTGGCGCCGTGGATGTCATTCTTGTATAATATATAAATGAGTTTTAAAAATTGTAAAAAAAAAAAAAAATGCATCGGCCGGGAATCGAACCCGGGCCGTCCGCGTGGCAGGCGAGCATTCTACCACTGAACCACCGATGGTTATGAAAAATCCCATCCGTGAGCTTCAGACAGACAAACAGACAGAATAAGGCAAATATATAAGTAGATACGAATGACCCGGGTTTTACCCGATTAAATGCTTTTATTCAAATACTATTCGTTACAATTGTAAATTGGCGCCGTGGATGTCATTATTGTATAATATATAAATGAGTTTTAAAAATTGTAAAAAAAAAAAAAAAAATGCATCGGCCGGGAATCGAACCCGGGCCGCCCGCGTGGCAGGCGAGCATTCTACCACTGAACCACCGATGGTTATGAAAAATCCCATCCGTGAGCTTCAGACAGACAAACAGACAGAATAAGGCAAATATATAAGTAGATTTTAGTAAATTAAATTTTATTGCCATCTATCGTTAAAATTTTACACAAATAAATTCACTGGCAATGCGTTTCTTTTAAATATCATCAAATATTGTGTAAAATTTTAACGATAGATGGCAATAAAATTTAATTTACTAATATATATTGGTTATGAAAACATATTTTGCGGAAGAGCTTTGCTCGATGCAATACCTTGAAATTATATGTATGTACCTCTACAGACCTATAAGCTTATGTCCATAGTTTACTAAACACCCCTAAGCTGCCTTCCATAGAAAATGCAGGGTATATAACAAACCCAGTCCAATACAATAGTAGAGCGGTCTAGAGATTAATTTGGCGAAACCGCTGAGAGGGTTCACTACTGATGAGCCAAGCCCTCTCATTCAATAACTCATATCATTCCAGTAAGGTCTGTAGAGAAAATATTTGATGATATTTAAAAAGAAACGCATTGCCAGTAAATTTATTTGTGTAAAATATAAATTTTATTTTATTAAAATATATCAACATATATAGTCACGACCGTCATGGGCCGGTTCTGTCACGGATGCGCGCGCATCATCATTATGATCATTATCATTATCTAATGATAATAATAATTATTATATTATTATTATTATCCCTATATATAGTCACGACCGTCATGGGCCGGTTCTGTCACGGATGCGCGCGCACAGGGAGGTCACGTGCTCGCCGCCAGCCAACGGGCGCGCGCCGCCGGCATTACGTCATAGATTATAAACACCAGGTAATAAGGCCAAATAAAAAAAATAGTGTGTGATAAGGCACAATTTGGATTATCTACTTATATAATTGCCTTATTCTGTCTGTGTGAAGTTCACTGTGTGAAGTTCACGGATAGATTTTGGTCAGAATGGATAATAATAAAAAAAGTGTCAAGGGATGGGGGGGAATCGAACCCACGACCTTCCGCTTACCGGGCAGATGCCATGACCACTAGGCTACCCTGGACATATTTTTCCGTTCACATTTTTATTTTTATATTTTCAAGACACACACAGTTTGGGGCGGGACGTTATACAAGAGAGACATCATAGGCGCCAATTTATAATTGTAACGAATAGTATTTTAATTAAAACATTTTTAAAATATTTAAGCACTCGGGTAAAACCCGGGCGTTGCCCGGGCCATTCGTCTAGTTTATATATATAATCTAAATTCAATTATTAATTTTAAATATTTCCTATTACCTATATTATTAATATAAACAAAATATTAAATCAAACAAGGCTTAAATATTTTTCTTTATATGTAACCTACAATATAAAACAGAAGAAAAAAATTAAGAATTTTTCTCTAAAGGATTATATAGAGAGAAGAATTTACTCTTTAAAAAAAAAGATAAAATATATTTTAAAATTATTCATGGGGAACTATTTACATTATATTTTTTAAATAGTCAAACACACGTCAAGATATAAAAAAATGAAATAAAGAAGTATAACTAAATTTCTCGAGGGAAAAAATTAATAACAAAGAAAAATTACATTAAAGTCTTGAGTTGCATTAATATATTTTTTTTTTAGGGTTAGGCCGCCATTTTCTTTTGGGGGTTTTAACTTGGTCAGGTCACGTCGTCTGCTGAACAAAGCGATTTCTTTCGCAGACGATCTTTTTGGCGGCTTTGTGAAGGTGTTCAAACGGTCATCGTACCTCTTCCATCATTTCACATTGTAGATTTCTCCCCCTTTTTTCTATCCCCTTATTTTATCCCTTTATCCTATCCCCTCCCTAACTTTCCCCCTTTTTTTAACCTTTCGAGCTAGACATCTTGTTCACGATTAAATCAGCTTATTATAGTTTCTATGAGGTGGAATTAATCTATTTCTTTGATGAGAGACACTATATAACTGTGATAGTTATCAATTTCTATCAAATTTTACGATTGGATACGTTGAAATGGAACTTTTAAAATGTCGTTTTAAACATCTATTAGCAGGATGTATTAAAGCACCATCTGTAATAAGAATTTAAACTATTTTTATACTTATGTTTATTTTCATTCGAATAATTTTAATATAAAAAGAAACATACGCGTCAAAAACAGGATGAAATTTAATAAACATTAAAAAATATATATTTTTATAAATATTTTTACATTATATATTGAGTTTGATTTATATATTGATATTTTTTCTTGTTATCTAAAATATTTGTATTTATTATCTGTGCTAAAAATTATAAACTATTATATATATATCAAATTACGAAACTATTTTAGACGCGTAATATTCTTTTTAAAATAAAGCAATTTCTATTGCCCTTACTGCAATGGAAAAATTAAAGAGAGGGCCTGGCTCATCAGTTTTTCCATTGCAGTAAGGGCAGTAGAAATTGTTTTATTTTAAAAAGAATATTACGCGTCTAAAATAGTTTCGTAATTTGATAACAGATGGCGCGCTAGTGCATCGTAATATAAGCTATTATACTATCATCATATATATTTTTAATGAGAACAACACCTTACTTTTCTAATGCGTTAATGGATTATAAAGAAGGCCTGGCTCATCAGTGGTTAACCCTGCAGAGGTATTTAACTGTATAAACCGCTGGAACAGTTCCTTACTGATGAGTCAGGATCTTATCAATATTTTTAATCGCTGTTAAGGACAGTAGGAGGTTTTTTAAATTATATTCAAACACAAAAATAAAAAATATAATGCGGGTAAATATTTTTAAAATTAGTATATATATTAAAAATAAAGAAGGCATCTCCCGACCACGAGCACATGTGCTTTTTAGATGGCAGAGCACCATCTAGTGGAGCAAAAATAAACTAAACGTTTATTTAGCTTGCTCCGTGATATTTGGCTAACCCAATTTCTTGATAAAGCAATATATATGTGTAAACCAAAAGAGTGGAACATCTTCTTTTGGAAAATTCATTAAAACAATGTATTTGGTTTATCACCCCCAGTACAAACATAATGATGGTGATAAATAATGGGCCACAACACCAGTTTTGTCAAATTCGGATAAAATCCAACAACCTGTATACCATGGTGTTGGGATATGACCCTCATCAGTACAGCGGCGGTTTTGATTCTATAACTACCTACGAGAGAATTTATGACATCGGTTGTATCGGCCAAAAGGTTGTTTAAGTTGGTAAAGTGGCATAGACCGATTTTCTGACTAGAATCAACTTATCATCTTTCTTCAACCTTAAAAGTATGTTATATATGCATATATATTTACCATAAAATATATTTAAAATATAGTTTATTGATATATTTTGCATAATTGTATAGTATTGAGATATTAATGGCAATTTTAAAAGTAGTTGAAATAATCTTTAATTGAAGTATATCTGGTTCGTTACCCCAGTTGTTTTTTAACAAGCTCATGACATGTCAAAGCCGATTTATAACCTTGGTTCCGTTGTTAAATCTTGCTGTTAAATCTTTTAACGCCAATAGATGGCGCTCTGCCATCTAAAATGCTCATGTGAGCGGTCAGGAAATGCCTACTTTGTCTTTAATTTCAACACCTGATTATTTTTATGTTTTCTTATCTTTTCATATATAAATATATATTATTAAACTATATCTGTAATATTTGAAAGAAAACTTTAATACTTTAAAATATTTTTATTCAGTAATAGCTTACTATACTGACATCATACCTTCAATTCGATATCAAATTATTCTAAAAAGCTTTCTTTATATTTAAATTAGATAGGCATATATTGGATCAAAATAGCATTTTTTACCAATTTTTCAGTTGGCTGAACACCAACCTTTTTCAAGGTTGATAAAAGTTGGCGTTCGGCCAACTGAAATATTGATAAAAAGATGATATTTTGATCCAACATATGCCTTTTATAATTAAAGATTTATATATGAATTGCTTTATTTTAAAAAATATTTCTAGTAATGAAGTTGTTGCAAAGCATTTTGAATTCATAAAAGATTTCAAAGCATATTGATTATATCAATAAGGATATTGTTAAAATGCCATTCGAAAAATATTGAATAGACAAAGATGTTAATATTCGTGTCTGTAATTTCATCAATACTATAATGTAGTTATACAAGTTATACACTTGTATGTATGTGTAGTTATACACTTGTATACTATCGGTACATTTTGATAGTTCAATTTTAATACTTATTCACTTTTTAAAAAATCATCAATAAAACTAATAGAATTTTAAACCAAACGACCTCTCTATTAATCACTTTTCTAAAAAAAATATTTTCCCCATTTTACAAATTAGAGAAAAGTTTGCTTAATAAATCACGTTTTCAAACTATATTCTTTATCCATTTTTCATTATAATATTAACAACGTTTTTAAATGTAGTTTAATGGAAAAGAAATTATGAATAAAAATATGCAGAAGATTCTCTCCACTAGGGTAAAACATCCTTTTTACATATCAATAAATTATCAGAATCTTCCAAACAGCATCAATTTGTCATAAGCCCTTGGTAAAATAGATGGTACGCTCATTTGACAATGAAAAAGAGATATTACTTTTAATTAATGGTATTTTAAAATATTAAACATATTTTGACTACTATTAACAAATTATTTATAATTTTTATATAGAGCAATTTAATAATACAACTTATTTCACATCATATGCGAACAAATACATATATCAACATATATAGTCACGACCGTCTTTCCACCGTCAATTCCTCAATTCCTCATGTCACGGATGCGCGCGCATCATCATTAGTATAATATAAAAAGCCAACAATGAAGAATGAATGTAAGATAAAAAGCCAACAATGAAGAGTAAATATGATATAAAAAGCCAACAATGACGAATGAATGTAAGATAAAAAGCCAACAATAAAGAGTAAATGTAATATAAAAAGCCAACAATGAAGAATAAATGTAAGATAAAAAGCCAACAATGAAGAGTAAATATAATATAAAAAGCCAACAATGAAGAATGAATGTAAGATATAAAGCCAACAATGAAGAGTGAATGTAAGATAAAAAGCCAACAATGAATAGTAAATGTAATATAAAAAGCCAACAATGAAGAATGAATGTAAGATAAAAAGCCAACAATGAAGAGTAAATATAATATAAAAAGCCAACAATGAAGAGTGAATGTAAGATAAAAAGTCAACAATGAAGAGTAAATGTAATATAAAAAGCCAACAAAGTGAATGTAAGATAAAAACCCAACAATGAAGAGTGAATGTAATATAAAAAGCCAACCTTGAAGAATGAATGTAAGATAAAAAGCCAACAATGAAGAGTAAATATGATATAAAAAGCCAACAATGAAGAGTGAATGTAAGATAAAAAGCCAACAATGAAGAGTAAATGTAATATAAAAAGCCAACAGAGTGAATGTAAGATAAAAAGCCAACAATGAAGAGTAAATATAATATATAAAGCCAACAATGAAGAATGAATGTAAGATAAAAAGCCAACAATGAAGAGTGAATGTAATATAAAAAGCCAACAATGAAGAATGAATGTAAGATAAAAAGTCAACAATGAAGAGTGAATGTAAGATAAAAAGCCAACAATGAATAGTAAATGTAATATAAAAAGCCAACAATGAAGAATGTATGTAAGATAAAAAGCCAACAATGAAGAGTAAATATAATATAAAAAGCCAACAATGAAGAGTGAATGTAAGATAAAAAGCCAACAATGAAGAGTAAATGTAATATAAAAAGCCAACAGAGTGAATGTAAGATAAAAACCCAACAATGAAGAGTGAATGTAATATAAAAAGCCAACCTTGAAGAATGAATGTAAGATAAAAAGCCAACAATGAAGAGTAAATATGATATAAAAAGCCAACAATGAAGAGTGAATGTAAGATAAAAAGCCAACAATGAAGAGTGAATGTAAGATAAAAAGCCAACAATGAAGAGTAAATGTAATATAAAAAGCCAACAGAGTGAATGTAAGATAAAAAGCCAACAATGAAGAGTAAATATAATATAAAAAGCCAACAATGAAGAGTAAATCTCTA